GAAAAAGGTAAGATTTTACCTACTAAAGGTAGGTTTTGCTGTACATTTTAAATCATTTTTCTTTATATATTCTGTATATGCTTAAATAGGAACCATTCTAACAAATTAACATGTTATTTTAAATGTTAATAGAACTGGAATCTTAGAATTTATGTTAGAAAACAGATGCAGACAATAGCAATTTATTTTTTTTTTTTTTTAAGAAGACACATGCCATGTTTTACACAGTTTCATACAAATTCTGAAAGAGAGGCACATTTCCTCCAGAAAGGGTAAACGTGGCTCTAGACCTACCGCAGGGGGCTCCTTCCTTCAAAAGGAGCATGTGGCAGGAGTTACTGGTGAGAAGGGGCTAGCAGCAACTTTGTGCTTCTGCTACCGGAGTCAGGCCCTGGCAATAGGGCCGATGCCCTCCCTCTAGAACAGGCCCCTTGGGCTGCGAGTCACTGAGCAGCACAGTCTCCTTCTCCCCATCTGCTGAACAGAATCCTCCCTCCCCCATTTCCAGGGGGGGAAAGCACTTAAATTCCAACTCAGACAATAAGGAAGCAAGAGAGAACATAATATTACGTACGCAAGCGCGACAGTTTGACGCTTGCAATAATCCACAGCTTCAGTTCTCCTGACCTTAAAAGATTCCCTGGAGAGACTCTAGCTTCTCCAGCTTTGTCAGTTAAATTAGCCAACCTGGCACAGTCATTAAGTCAGAAGAAAAACCCTGCAAAGTTTAAGCTGTTCTTCAGGTAAGAACAAAAAGTTTTACAGCTGGAATATTGTTATGAATTGTATTTGAAAGATAAAACAATGGCCTGAACAACTTCCTAGAGCAGCCAACTTTGCCCGTTGCCAGGGTAGGTTAAGCAATAAAGCTAATATTCTTTGCCGTGCAGAAATAATTAAAAATGCACTTTAGATTACAGTGATAAACTGCTCATTTCCAATGAGAAAAGAGCTACAGTTGATATAATGGATCACAATCAATACAGAAAAGACAATCATTCCTTTAAACATTTCAATCTGCTTATATCTAGTTTCAATAACATGCTCAGTTGTGAGAAATATCACGTAAGTTATGCTGAACAAAAATACATGCTTAGAGCTGCCAATATCCTAATGAAACTAATGAAGTAATTCAGAATGATGAACTGAGCATCTCACATAAGGAAGAGGTGAACTGGGAAACACAAAGCACCGAACAGGGCACAAAACACCCAGCAGTGCGACCCCCCCC